TTGCCTTTAACTAAGTCATTTAGGTTATGCAGCAGACCCAAAGCACACCAAAAGGGTTTAGATAAAGGTAAACAAAGTGGAAGTTAGGAAGCAGAGCACTCAGACCCTGGGCTGTTAAAGTAATTTAGTGCAGAACAACCTTCATACTTGATGTCCCTCCAATGTGACCGGATTACATTGACTCTGCAACAGGGAGTTGGTCACATTTCATCCAGAGAGATGAAAAAGACATTACCGTCATTTGATGGCAACTGTTGCAAAGAAATGGGTCAAACCAGAAATTAGATTTACGAGGAATTATATTTTATAACAGGGTTGATTTTAAAAGCTTTTTTCCTTGATAGATGAATTCATTATTAAAGGAATTCCTCATTTCAAAACTCTTGTGTGTAACTTCTTAGATATGAAGATATGTTCCTGCTCATCCTGGAACAACCCAGAAGGCAACAAAGCATGACAGCAAACTGAATGTTTTTATTTTTTATTTATGTATGCGAGTTGAATCCATTTTTATTTCACAAATACAGCTTGACCTCAATATAAAGATGTGATCCTCTCTCTATGGACAGTAAGCCTGAAGATTTCCATTTCTCAGGTCAAAAACGATTATTCAAAAAAAAAAAGGGTGCTGCCTCCTTTTTGACTCTTTTGTTACATGTTTGTTGTATGAGCGAAGCTGAAAGAGGAGTTTGGATAGAGTGCTGTTCCTGTGTTTGGAGACTGCACACGCCAGGGGGAGCCTGAGCCCAAAATAAGAGTAAAGCCACATAGTGAAAAACAGAGCAAAGGTAAACAATGAGGGCTGTACTGCAGTGCTTTGGGATTCTAAATTGAATGAAGATGCGTAGAGGTACTCCATGGCTCCATGGCTTTCTGTTTGCATGTTAGAAATCATTATCAGAGCACAGGGTGCATATTCTGAATGTATCTTCACATAATTAACGTTCCCTGCTCTAATTATGGTGCAGCAGGGACACATTTGATTCTCAGATCCTTCCCTATCTGCAATCTCTGTCATTCAAGCACTATCACTTTCTTTTTTAGAAAAACAGATCGCAGTGCAGCCTTTACTTATCTTTGTACTTGTTTGTCTGTATTCCCTTTACACATCTGAGAGAAAAAAAAATGCCTGGAAGGTAAGGATACAATTATGGCATTTCTTTTTAACATCAGAGTAAATGTTTCTGTTGAAACAACCTCAGAAAAAGTTGGCACCTCCCAAAATTCTATTTATTTGGCTGATTTATTCTATATGACAAGCGGGAAGCTAAATCCAATTTACAAACACTACAAAGCAGGATTAAAATTAAAATGCAGAGTAGATCCTAAGTTAAAAGTCTTCTACAGGTTTTATTTAAACTGCAGGAGTTTGGGCAATCAGTGTTGGTCACATTTTCTAAATAATATGAAAAAGACAACTAATGACACTTGTGATCTAAGTACCAATGTGTAAATCAGTGCACAGATGGGTACTAAACGTTTTCCTGCCAAGCACCAATATGGTGCCTTATTTCTAAGAACCAATTTAATTATATTTGTTTGGAAAGTTCCAGAGCAAGAAAGATTGTCAGTTTTTATTAAAAGCTTGTCAGTACTCTTGAATAGATTAAGATGAAAACATTATGAGGTTTATTTATATGCACATAACTTTAAAAAAAAATGCTAATATGTGGATATGCCTGAAAGGCAGCACTGTAGCACATAGAGTTAATATCTTGCTCCTGCAATTCTATTATGCAAAGAATAAGGAAAATAAAAAAAAAAAATTTAAAATTAAACCTATTAACCAGTTTTCTGAGATTCTCTCAGGACTTAACCTAAAGATGGATTGGAAAAAAAAGAAATGATTTCACTGTCAGTGTCAAGGGTTTTTTACAATTATATTTGCACACTTCCTGGTAAGGATTTCATAGGAGACACATCACAAAGAAGTGTATAATTGTGAAATAAATAGAATATGATAAATGAGGCAAAGCCTTTAGTCCAGTTCAGACTGCTTTCTCATGCTAAGCTGCTGCTTCTCATGTGATGTCTTCCACACCTTATAGAACATATCAAGCATTCCCTGGCAATGTGGGCTGTCTGTTGAAGCTACAGCATTCTGCTGCACTATGTGCTTATTCCTGTTTGCTGCTGCTGCAAGCTTATATCTTCAGTCACTCCACCACAGAGGCACTCGCCTTGGACTCCAAGGTCAGAGACCCTCTCCTCACCTCCTGATATGTGAAAGACTGGTTTAAGGGGTACAGATGCGTTAATTACCACACAAAATGTTGACTATTATAGCAAAGGTGTAATGAGATAAGAGAAAAAACAACAAACCTGTATATATGTATATATATTAGCTGTATCAGAAGTATTTTGAATATTTATACATGAATTGTCAGATTGAACAGATTTTAAGCTGTTTTTAAACAAAAATCTGATTTGTATTTTACCATACAGAATCACATTGTAAAACGTTGATTTGCATTTAAATCTGAAGTTCTAAGTGGTTTGTATCTACCACCTCTGCTGACCATAATTGCCAAACAAAAATCTAAACTTAGGATTAGATGAAAAGCATTCTGTATATGAAAAGCAAATCAAGCCTTTTCACAAATTCAGTGTTTAATGTTGGTTTAAACTTTGACCGACCTGCTCTAACATAACATTATATTGCACATGCATGCATACTTTGGTTGGTAATAAAACATTTTTTGGAGGGTTTTATTAATGTAGCTGTTTCAAAGTGAATGGAACTAAATACAAATGAAGGTTTTGCATTTGTTATTTTCTCCTCACAGTTATGCTATACATTGTGTTGGATTATCTCATACTACCCTTATATGGCGCACTGAAGTCTGTTGTAATGTGAAAAAATGTGGAAAAGAAATCTAGAAATCTAAGAAAAGATTAAGGATCCTGCATTTTTTCTGTTGATCATATCATCTTCCCTATGTGTGGTTTATTAAAAACTGGTTACGTCTCCTTATCGTACTCGAGTTATCAGCCGTGAAAGCATTAATATAACCAGGGGTGGCCATGTATTTAATTACAGACAAGCAGCAGGACAACAGTTTATATAGCACTCCGCAGCAAGTGCTCCATCTAAAGTAAGTATTAATAGAACACATTACAATCTGAAAAATGCTTATTCTGCAGAAATGAAAAGGTACATAAACTGTGCCATCCAAAATATTAAAAAGAAAGACGATATAGATGAAGATAAGTATTGCTGCTGGACCATCGACCATGTCTGAATAGTTTAAATAAACTATGCAGAGAGTAAACTCCTCTTTGCAATTATTATATATACAACAAGGTGAGAAGTTCGGCTGAGTAAGGATTACCTCTATGCTACTCAGATGCTTTATGTGGGTTTGAAGGAATCAGCTGAGCTTTCAGCACCTTCATAAAGCCAAGCCGGTGGCCTCAGTCTTGTCAGGGCTCCAGCCAAGCAGGCACAGCAGGTCAATCCAGGACAGAGGAAGGCAGCATCTCTCCGTTTTCATACTACCCTAATTCTGCACCATGTGTTCATATCTCGCCTTGTAGGCAGCTTTTACATTGCACAGAATCTAAATGGAAAATAGGTCCAATAGCAGGAAAATGTAGCTGAATGAATTTAAGTTGCTTGTGGAGGAAAATATAGTTGGCCTACTAGTTTTGATCAAGACATTGATCAAAAAGTAAAGTTCATATTTCTATATCTACAACATCAGTTAAAGTTTTCATGGGGAAACGCTTAGATAAAACATTCAACTTAAAGTTATTTTCAACTCTTGCCTCTATTTCACTTTGTCAAAACTAAAGCTTTTGCTCCATCTAGTGTCTTAAATTTGACAGTACATGTTGAATACAGCTATAAACAGCCACTAGAGAGCAGCATGTTGAACTGAAGGTGTTTCTTTTCTATTTGAATTAGCTCTGAAAAGCAGTTTTAGATTCAAAGTTTTAAAAATATTTTATTGTAAAAGCTCATACATCTTATAATAAATGCTTTAATAAATGCTTTCATTAATTCATCTGTTGAATACTGGACTGTTGGATGCAAAAGTGCACACATATTTTGTGTTGAATTGTGCATTCAATGACTTGTCTTGTTAATGCCAATCTTGGCCAAAGCATACTTGTAGCACCCTAGTTCATTAAGGTGTTGAAAATACGAACTGATATCTCATTGCACATCAATTTCCCTTTTCTCAGGACTGAGCATTATATAAGAGCTTAAGCACTACTTACAGTGTCCTAAAAGAGATTTGGTGGGTTCAGGGAATGGTGGGGAAATTGACCTGATTGATTTTAAAGGCAGTCAGTTATGATTTGTTGCACTATGCCAACATAGATGAGTGAACAAACTGGGCTCTAATTCAAAGAAAATGTTAAAGTTCTAGCTCAGATAGCTTCTATGGTAGCAAATCCATCAAACTATGAAGATTGTTTTTAAACTTGCCAACTTCTTCTATTAATGTTTAAGTTTTAAACAACTTAAAATCTTTTAATTTGTATCTGCTGAAACCTTGGGCTAACTGGCTTTCAGAATATGACCCTATACTGCAAAAAATAGGTGAAACAGCAAGTAGAGGAAATAGGAAATAATATAACCTTGTTAAAGAGAATTATTTAATTTCAAGTTTTAAATTATGTCAAATTTAAAACTGAATTCAAATTCCACTCTTGTTTAACTTCTCTGGTTAGGCCTAAAGTGTACTATTATGTTTAAATACTCCAGAGAGTTATTATTAAGTAGCTAAATAAAACTAAGTGTGACGTAAAGAGCAGCCGTTTTTATTCTGAAACTGACCCTTTAAAGTCAAGGCAAAAAAAAACTTTTTAAAAAAATCACAAAATGAACACAAGACATGATTCTTGTAAATTATGCATAGAGGATCTCATTATTTATTTCTTATTTGTAAAGAAAAAAAATATTACTGTACTACACTAAAAGTAGAAAACCAAAATAAAAAATTACCTATTGTAATAAATAATGATACACAATAGAAATAAAATTGTTTCTATAGTCAGAGTACAAAATAGAAAGTTTCAAGATTATGAAACACAATCCAAACTACATCCAGTATTTTCAGAGGTTTGATTAACAATTATTTTTTATAAGACTGCAATTCTGTTTACAATTCAATTAATTTTAGTTTATTTATATATCGCCATTAACAATACATCATCTAAAGGCGCTTTGCAAAGATAATTTAATCAAATCCTACATACAGATTAAGTTCATACATACAATTAAGTGTTTCTTATCTAAGAAAACCCAGCTTATTTAATGAAGTCATTGACTTTGCAGAATCTGTTCGTCCTGGATGAGCATGTAGAGAGTGGACAACCTCTTGCATTGTGTCGTCAACACAACATCTATATGCAACTTTGTCATATTATTTTTGGTCTGTGCAACCTGAGCTTTCAGTAAGTAAGAGTTTGGTGATGAATATTTCAAAAATAAATAAAAGCAAACACAAATATATTTTGTCATTGCAACGATCTAATCCTCCTTATCCACTGTGGCACTGTGTTACAGGTATTGTGAATTTGAGAACACATACGGCTGCTTTTGGGCCAAAGTTTTTAAAAGCTGTGTGGTGAATTTAAACAGTCTATGGTTTGTGCTGATTTAATATATTAACTCCTCTTAGTTTAATTTCCAGCCATAAAAATGATACGTTGCTTCCTGGGGTTTTATCTATTCTTTGTTTCACAGCGACGTATTCGGTGCAGGTATCTCTCTGGGTTACTCTCTCCCGCCCTCCTCGGTCCTGAGCTGGATTTGGTTGCTCTGTCAAAGTTCCTGTTAGTGTTCTCCCTCTCAGTCTGAGCCAACTGTTCACCAGTCCCTCCTGACATTACTCCAAATAAGGTGTGCCCCCAGGACTCTGAACTTCTTGGTATTTCAGCTTTAAAATCCAGCTCCTCACCATCATCTTCACTATGTCTGCTTGGAGAGTCCTCTCGAATCCTAAGTAAGAAAGACTGTAGTTAGAGACAAGAACAGTTGTTAAAATCCAATGCTTGAAACAGCATAAGGTGGGGATGAATGACCTATTATAGAATCACTAACTGCCACTTTTAGTCATTTAAAAACACATTGGAAAATATTCCAAAAGGAAAACTTGGCAGATATTATTTAACCACCCTTTATTTCCATCTTCTTGCTGTTCATGTGTGTTTTTCTGAACAGGGAGGGGATCAGTCATGGGGTATTTTTTTGGCTATGTGACAACAGTAGCGATTTAGCACAGCAAAGTGGGGTTTTTTTAACTGAAGCAGAGAAACTATGCCAACAGCAAGAATTCAAACTGTAGAGAAATATTTCAATACTGGTAATGATTGCTTATTGGCCATAGCAGTAGACTAAGCTGCCTTCTTGGCCAGGACTCCCTGGAAGAAGAGTTACTTTAACTCAATGGGACTTTCCTGGTTAAATAAAGGTTAAATAAAATAAAATAAAATAAAATAAATAAACTAAATATTGGATATTCGCCCACATTTTCCTAATAGTACATCCCTTATATAGGTTGTGATATGGTTTTACCTGAGTTGGTTGAAAGATCGCAGCCAGTGTGAGCCCAAGGCATCATTAGTCCTCAGTTCTCTTTTATGAACTCGACTCCTCAGCGCTATTAAGGCCTGAGCTAGTTCAGCTTCGTCTCTGTGTCCCCAGACCAGCTGGGCCCTCTGCTGTGCATCCTGATCCCCCGCTGCCGTAAACAACCTCTGGAGCTGCTGCAGATTCACACTGCTGAAAATGTTCCCTGAACCAGACTTCCTGTTCCTTCTCTCGGTCAGACGCCACAGGGAAGAAGAACCAACCGCCACTGATGGAGAAGGGGTTGTCGATATGGAATCCATCCAGAAAGATGGGAAAAGTGGCAGACAATACCCAGGTTTATTCTGTGGAGAGAAGAAATGTTTCAATAAGAAAAGCATTTCACTTATTCAGCTTTTTCTTGTATTTTATCAATGGCAGAGCAGCCTGCCCTGAGCCAGGAAATGGGAACACAACCATATCCTCGCTCCATGGGAATAATTAATAGCATAAGGCATTAGCTGCCAATGTGCTAAGACTCTTCCAGCAGGCCTTGACTTTTTAATCCTACTTAAAGGCAAGTGATGACCAGCACTTTAAAGCCAATTACACTTTAAATGTTAACTCTGTCTCTCTTTACGCACATTCGTCAGAAATTGCACAATTGCTCTGTGCTAATCGAAAGCCAAAAGTCAGCTACTCTTGCTGAAAAATGCTCCACTTCTCCTGTTTAATAGAAATGGGACACAAAATGTAATTTTTAAGCAAAAACTATCTACTGTTTCAGTAACTCAACTCATGTTTTATTTATAAAGCACTTTATAAGCTCAAGGTGAACAAAGGTGGTTTGTTGATATTAGGGCTGAAACAATGAACTGGATTAATCGATTATTTCAATAATTGCCAACTAATTTAGAACCCACATTGAGCAGCAATTACACCAGAAATAAAAATTTTAAAAATGTAAAAATTTTGTATTTAAGATAAAAAAAAAAAAAACTTTTTCGTTGTCAATAAGTTCTCTGCAGAACTCAAGTGGAAATTTTTTAGTTTCGCCTGGTTTAATTTCGTAAAAAGTCTTCTTTAAGGAACCTTTTCCTACCCTAATCATAATCAATTATGCTAAAAGAAAAACATTGGTAGATTAATCGATTTGAAAAATAATCGTTAGTTACAGCCCAAATATACCAAAACATCCCACGGATAAAAAACGAGATAAACAATAAAACAGTTCTACATGCTACATTAGTTCAAATAAACACATTCACGAGTAAAACCGACTTAAAAAAACTCTAACTAAAAACTTTGTAAAAGCCTATTCTCATAAATGTGCATAAATTGTGAATGTAACAAGTACTATATTCTTTTAAGAGGTAAGCCTTAATTTTCATTTAACATGTAAATGAGCGGGAAAATTCCACAATGAATCCACAATTTAAAGCTGTGATTTTGAAGCTGTGAAGTTAACTCATAATGTTTAAGTGGTAAAGACAAACAAGCTACTTTGATTTATATCCAGATGACTAAAACTGAGAAGTAGTTATAGATAAGCATGAATAATAAAGTAAAATAGATATAACTTAAAGGGAACATAAAGTGTAATGGAAACCATAAGCTTGTAACTACCAAAAAGTACTTAAGTTGAGGACATATTAAAATAAAATGCACAAAACAAAAATTGCAGAAACAAGGCATAAGTTAACTTTAAACAGGATATGCATTTTACGTTAAAGTGCACTTTTTCTTTATTCCGTAAAGTTATTCACAGTGGATAGAGTGGCCAAACGTTATACTCAAGTAAAAGTAGCAATACATCATGGAAGTAAAAAGGTATGATGCAGTAAAACTAGTTCTAAATGGTACAAAAAGGAACTTCAGTAAATGTAACTGAGTTAACTAGTTACTAATAGTAACTACTTAAGTTTGCATATAAGGTATTTTAGATTTTAAAATAGGCCTTTCTTCGCTTCAGAAACAACAAAATGAAAGGCTTCTTTATTCTAATTAAAAATGTTTGGTCTTTATGGAAAAGTTGGGGGGGGAAAATACAAATTACACCATTAATGGAACACAGAAATCATGTTAAAGAACACAATCTGGGCAAATAAATAAATAAATAATAAACTTTTGGACAAGTTTTACACAAACTAAGGCTACACATCAGCCTCAAACAGGATAGTGGCATCATGATGCTGTGGAAAATGCTTTTTTCTACTGCGGGAATATGAAATCACTAGTGGAAAGAACAACCTAATAGAGGCTGCAACAGAAAACGGTGCGTCTTGGACAGCCTGCCTAAGATCCAGAGTCTATACCTACTTAAACTGATGAACAACCTGTGACAACATAGAATATGATGACTGAGATCTGTTTGTCGCTTCACTAAAATGAATAATTTTACCAATAACATAGTCTACTCAGACATAGGCTACAAAGGATAACATATTTTATCATCAGATGAAAAAAGAGATAAATATGCGCGCTTACTCAAAGGCTCAGTCCATCCATCAGATTTCCCTGCGTGTTTTTCTCTTTCATACAGCAAGGAAACCCCTCTATGTGCTGCCAATCTGCTGCAGCGCTTTCTAATTTGACTCCTTTCTGTGTCAATTGGTAAATCACTGACCTGAAATGAATAGGGTGGGAGGAATGCGCATGCGCGCTCCTCTCCAGCCTGCTCCAAGTTGTCATTTCAGCCAATAAAGATTGTGGAGGGGTGTGGTTGGGGCTTGGCTCTGCCCACTAGCCACGTAGGGCGTTTAGGTCGTAAACTCATTGACGTCAATGAGCCCGGCTGATGCGAGGAGCGCCTGTCATTAATCCCAGAAAGAAAGTAACATGTGAGGATCCTGCGCCTGGATGACGCAAGCAGGGCTCATGATTACTGGAGCGCTATCAACAGAGCTGGCATTATTAGTTCAATCCAGTGAGGTGGCCAAATAGACAAAATAGATATACACACTTATTGAATATCAAAGCTCCACAGTTATTGAAAAGATAAACACCTTAGGCTGATGAGTGCATGGGTGGGTCCAAATACAAGGAAGAAATATTTTGATTATAATCAGCAGTCTAGACCTACATCACTGTTGCTTCCATGTTATGAGAAACTTCCGTTTGAGGCAGAGGCGTAGCCAGAAAATTTTTATAAGGGTGTCCAGGCAATAACCAATGGCCCAAAGGTTGATAGGCACCAGAACCTCAGGCTCAATCTACACTGTTCCAACAGGAAAATTAACGAGCGCAACTTCCGTATTTTCAAATTAAAGACTAACTATACTTTCCTACAGCCTTTGCTAACAAATAGACGCATATATTTAAACATCCATGGTGTCTTAATTAAAGGTATAGTGGATAAAATTCTTTCAGGTTTGAGATCTGGGGCAAACATCTTTTCCATTGTCTTTATTTACCTACTTTTATCAATAATCCTTCGGTATAAAATTGATATTTACATATACTAATATCTCCATGAATTGATTATTTCATATGTTTTTATTAAAATGCTTATTTATCTATGATTTCACTGAAGATTCCTAGATGACTTGCAGAGACACATTATATTCTCCTTACCCCATATTACTAAAAATCTAGTTATGGAAAGAGCATCATTTCTGTATTTATCATCTTTAATGTTTGTATATTGATGTGCATAATTAACCATAGTGTTTTTGTTGTCAAGTAATTGTTAATATATGAAAAATTAAAATGTTTTGAATATTCCACTTGAGATTATTACTGCTGCCATCTGTATTAGAGGGAAGAAATGGTAGGGTGGCCACAGGGGTGGCCAATTAAGGGTGACCATGGCCACCCCTGGCCCCCCATCTAGCTCTGCCCCTGGGTTGAGGCCCTTAAACAAGAGAAAATGTATTTAAAAAAAATTAGTCTTTCAAAGATTGTTTTTTATTTTCTATGTATGATATAGAAATAATAATGACAATTTGGGTCAACTACTTAGCAATAGTAATAATGATATTAATAATATTTTATTTAAAATAAATATATAATTTTGTAAAAGAAAAGTTAATTTGTTAATAGTTTATTAATGGGTATTGTTAAAGGAAAGCTCTGTGTCTGCACCTTGAAGCTTTCTCTGTCCGGTTAGTTTTCCTAAAAAAGATCACTCGGGACAAAATCTTTAAATAACACTTCATAATGTATTAAATAGCCATGAGATATGACAACAGATTTTGATTTTAATTGTAATCTTACTCAGATCAGAGAAGTTGCTTAAGAATACAGAAGGCAGCTGCTCACCAACCACACTCACTTAGTGGGAAGTGGCCACGATTAAGAGTTAAAGAAGCATTTTATACATCTCCAGTCTGCCACATAATCACAGTTTACATTAAACACGTTTGTAGATGAGGAGACATCCATCATGGCTCCAGTCTTATCAAAATATTACACTTTGTTCTTAGCTGAAGGACACCGCATTCATTCCATTCCCAAATCTTTGCCACGTAAAAAATGAAGATTATAACTGTATATAGCTGGACCGTGGAACTGGCCTAATTAAAATAACTACTGGGGAAATTATCAGTTCTGACACGCAACCAGCAGTTAATATTAAGGTGTAATAAAATCACACATAATCAATAATAATTATCCTAACAGTATTTTTTGTAGAAAAAACCCAAAGCTCATGTTCATATAAAAATATTACAAAAAATCTATAAAATATTATTGCAAACTATCGAGCTTCTGCAAAGTTTATATCCTGGCACTCAATATTTTGCTGTCTTTTGACATGAAATAAATGCATTGCGGCATGGAGGGGATCAGCTGCAATTCTACTGAGGTTTAATGGAAGCCTATGTTGCTTTGATTCAATTTCAGTAAATTCAATTATGTTTATTTATGTATCATCAATTCACAACACATGTCATCTCAAGGTACTTTACAGGGTCAATTCAACCAGATCATACAGTCAGATTGGTTCAAAGTTTTCTATCTCAGGAAACGAGCTGATTGCATTGCATAGGCAATCGCTCTCACCAAGCATGCTTGTAGTGACAGTGGAGAGGAAAACTCCTTTTTTAACAGGTCGAAACCTCCAGCAGAAGCAGGCTTAGTGTGAGCAGCCATCTGCCGATTCCAACTGGGGTTCAAGGAGACAGAAGCATTCATAAAGAAGTAAAGATACAAAAGGTAACTGTTAACCATCTCCACAGGCGGCCCCGTCAGGAAACAAACAGCCAGGTAGACGAGCTCTGAGCCAGCTCCCATGTCAGAGGATGAAAGAGAGCACATACAGTTAGTCACAGTCAGAGAAACAGGACTACACTGGAAAATAGGCCAAGCTCCTCATCTATAAAGAAAGTGTTGATGGCATGAACACAGTTGAAATTTCTCTCCAGGATAGTGTCACAGCCAAAGAGGAACAAACCGGGTGAAGCTACTATGATGAGAAAAGGAAAAGAGAGCATAACGTTAGAGATTAAACTAACAAATATTAAAGAGTGGGAGAACATAGAAGCAGAGTCACGAAATAGGGTGCGTTCCAGCAGTCTAAGCCTATAGCAGCAGAACTATAGAGATAGATCAGGATAACGTGAGCCACTCTAACTGTAAGCTTTATCAAAAAGTAACGTTTTAACACTAGCCTTAAAAGTAGACAGGGTGTCTGCCTCACGGTCTGTGCACTGTAGGAATAATCTGATATAAGACAGAGCTTGGCCATTTAAGGCTTTGATCGCTGTTATATGGGCTGAATGCTTGATATATTTCACTTTCTGTAGAAAACAATATGACTATCAATTTCTGAAATGTCAAAAAAATATAACTTTTTATACCCTCATTGAGCTGTAAATTATAACATTATTATTATTGTTGTTGTTGTCGTCGTTGTTGTTGTTGTTGTTGTTAAGCGCTTGATGTTATTTGGGATGACTTGTTGTTATCCAAACACAACAGCAAGCGCATTTGAAGTAAGGCTATTTTTGTAGCCTATCACTTTATATTGAATTAATCATGAAAAATGTTAATCATTTTACCTTTAGTTTTTCTTAAATTTGGTAAATGTTTCCGAGCAGCCATCCTGGTTGTCAGTGTGAACCTCTAAGCAAAGGAGCGCATGCCTCAGTGTCCAACAGAGGAGGAGCAGGTTTTGAATTACAAGCCGCCCATTCCCCATCTCCCCCCACTCCCCCCACCCCCAACACAGACTCTGCATTGAACAGAGGAAACGGAAAAGACGAAACATAGCCTGCAAGAAGGTTTGTCATTTCAAAACCCAGAGGCTGTGGAAAGAGCACAGACGCCCTCTTTATTCCCACAGCCTGGCTGCTTTTATTGGACTTTACGCACTCCGCTAAAAAGTTCCACTTCCACTTTTTAAACCATCTTTTCTCCAGCTGCAAACAGCTGGAGAGAAGACATCCGCCCTGTTTAGAGAGAGAGAGGAAGCTTGAGTGTGAGCGGAGAAAGGAGCAGAGGACAGAGAGAGGAATGGAAGGCCAACCATCCCAGGTGAGGAAAAACATCTCCAAATTCCTCAGGAGTTTCCTTGGAATCATCCGGATCCTGCAGATCGTTTTCGGAGCCGGACTGTGGATCACAGTCGCTGCCAACAAGTACGAAGGCTCCATCCACTTTGTCCTGTTCGTCGCTGTCCTCTTCTGGCTCCTCACCCTCGCCCTGTTCTTCATCACCCTCCTGGACAAGCAGGACCTCGTTCCTTTGCTGGGAGGAGAGCGCTGGTTGCGCACCAACCTGACGCACGACGTGGTCGCCACTGTGCTTTACCTGTCGGCCATAGGAATCATGATTTATAAGACTCGTACCAACTCCTACTGCAATCTGGAGCAGTATCAGCACTACTGTCTGTACAAGGTCTACCTGACAGCGGCTGTGTTCGCCTGCCTGTGCTGCCTGACCTACCTCTTATCGGTCATCTATGGAGGATACAGGAGGAGCCGAGGAGAACAAACTGTCATCTGATGACACTGATTCTGGGGATGGAAGAGGAGTATCCATTGCAAGATGAGGAATAGTCCCCTTCACTGTAATTCAACTCAAGACCACCCCTACTGTCTCCCATTGCTGCTTGAAAGCAGCTACAGGTAGAATCCAGGAATACAAATAGAAGATGTCACATAATATGTGGATGGTTTCTTCCATTTCTAACCTAAAAAATAATTAAATCAGGATTTTGTAAGATAAAAAAAAATTTCACAGCTACATCCCTAATACACATTTTTACTTAGCCTTACATCCTAAGGACGTTGCCAGTTGCCATTTTTATATATTTTTTATCTTTTGTATTTACGCCTTTTTGTAAGCTGATATCCATGGATAAAAAGACTCAGCTGTTTTTGTTTCGTCTTTAACTCAAACATCCAGTTTTAACTTCTGTCAGAATGCTGTTCAAAGATGAGACAGTATCAACCTCCTTTCACATGGATGTAAACGGTGCTGCAACATGTTTTGCTGAAAATATATACTCCTAATATAATTTTAAAGAGCAGGAATAAACATGACTTGGTTGAGAATATGTTTCTGAATAATGTCAATGCAAAGTATTCAGTGTTAATGCTTTATATATCCTGTTATTGTTCCAGGTGTTTTTATAAATCTGTACTCTCAGGGAGGTTAACTCCAAAGATGTATTAAAATAAAAACGACTAAAA